GTTCCTGTGTTAGCCCCATCACTTAGATTTACTTCACCCACCTGGCCTGGGATTTATTGACATTTTGCTAGATTCAACAGATAGAATGCCAAGCAAAATATATATCCCTATGTCTTGAAGCTTACAGACTAGTGGGGAGACAGATATTAATCCAGTAATTACATAAATACATCATAATAAGCTCTGCTAAATCCAAGAACTGTAAGAGTATATAATATAGCAGGGACGGAGAAGGCAGAGACTTTCCTCAGCAAGTGACTGTGTAGCCTGCCATCATATGGATCAATAGTAATTAGCCAGTGGGGCCTCCAGGGAAGCAGTGTATTCCAAGCAGAGGGAACAGCATGTGTGAAGACCTCATGTCATACAAAGGGCCTATCATACATAGGCCTCCAGATGTAGATGGTTCTAGTCTCCAGATTGGAGCAGAGACTGGAGCTAAGCCAAGGGCTGCTCATGCATTGACCACACACACTGGCCCTCCTGCATGCTCACCTTGTGACAGCTAGGCCCAGCTCTGACCAGGTCAAGACACAGAGACCAGGAGGGCTGCATGCACCCACCCTCATGGTCTTGCTGAACATATTAAGGAGCTAGCTAACTTCCAGACTTTCTGACCCCCACAGACAAGTCCCTAAAGCTGGTGTGGAGAAAGCTCGGAGAGAATTGTCTGCGTTGACTCTTATCAGGAGGTTGTGTGTGGTCCTGGCAGAAAAGCAACTCCCTCCCACTCCCATGTATCAGTGAAAACCATTATGCAAATAAAGAGGCTGGGCTCAGGGACCTGTTTCTGCCTGTATGGGGCTAGCTGCCTGGCACGTTTTCTGGGTGATTGGGGAGGGTGGAGTGATAACCTGGAGTGACTCAGAATCCCTATTCTCTGATTCCAGTCTCTCATTTGGTACAAGTTGCAAGTGACAGGAATCCAGCTGGAACTTGGTCAGTAAGGGTAATTCACTAGCCTCAATCATTGAAGTGATGAGCAATGGTTACAACGAGGGTTCTCTGGCTACACGCAACAGAACTTTAAGAAAAAAAATGAATTTATTGGAAAGTGTACTGGCTTCCTGTGGCTGCCATAACAGATTACCACACATTTGATGGCTTAAAATAACAGGATCATTCTCTCACAGTTCTGGAGGCCAGAAATCTAAAATCAAGTCGTCAGCAGCACCACACTCTCTCTAGGGGAGAGGGGCTCTAGGGGAGATTTCTCTCCCTGCCTCTTCCAGCTCTGGTGGCTGCCAGCATTGCTTGGCCTGTGGCTGCATCACTCCAAATGCTGCCTCTGTCGTTGCAGCACCTTATCCTCTGTGTGTCAAATCTCCCAATGCGCCTCTGTCATGAGGACACCTGTGATGGTATTTAGGGCCCACTCAGATAATCCAAGATGACCTCGAGATTCTTAACTTAATCGTATCTGCCAAAAGACCCTTTTCCTAAACAAGGTAACATATAAATAGTAGAGTTCCACTACATTCCAACTCTTGCCTGCCCAGCACACCTTCCTATACAGAGATTAAGATGTAGACATGTCTTTGGGACCACCATTCAGCCACTATAGAAGAGTAATGATACAGTTCACCCAATCAAAGGAAAAGCTGACTGACCAGGCCTCAGGAAATACAGGAATGAAGGGAGCTCTAGGGATTGCAGCACAGGACCCATGAACCTTTTGTTTAGAACACAGCCATCAAAATGATCCTCCAATCACCTTCCCCCCCGGGTCATTCTGCTCAGCCCCCATCCCAGGAGAAAGGTTCATTTGCCTTACCTCATATCCGTTCCCTTGGTGGGGATGGAGGGCAGGGTACCTGGATTAGCATCTACAACAGATCATGTGGGATGGAAGAAAGGTAGTTACCCAAAGAAAAGGCCATGTAATGTCACCAAAATAAAGGGGAGAGATGTGAACAGGCAAAAATAGTAGAGTTCCACTACATTCCAACTCTTGCCTGCCCAGCACACCTTCCTATACACACAGTGTTATAAATGTTTCTAACATAAGGAAATGATCTTTGCTCTGTAGGCCCTATTAATGTGATTTAATCAATGGAGTGGATCAGTTTGATGTCTTGCAGTGGAATCAGGGAATCAGTTTCTCTGATACAGAGCTGGAAGAGAATGGAGTGAAAGGTAAAAGAAAACTTATCTTTTCCAGCAAAAGGTTTCCAGTGGTTTTGGTTTCTTGGAATAAAGAATTAAACCAGAGATGCCTATTAGCTCCAGAGCCTGTTACAAGGAACACATATCTAAAACTGCAGCTAAAATTGGAATTGCCACTTGATTAAAATAAGCCCCCTGTCATTTTCCAAGACCCATTCAATCTTGCACCAGTGAAACAGGAAACTTTTCATAGGAGTCACCACTCTGCAGGGGCTCCAGTGGGGGCACTGATCTCTGCAGCCTCCCCTAAGATGTGGTACAGCTGCTGAGTTTTCGATTCTGGGACAGTTGCTCAGTTGGATTCTATTGGCCTTCATGGGTCAGGGAGCCAAGTGGGGGATCTTTTCAAACTATCACTCAGAAACTGGAGATAGAGAACAGCATCGGGATCCCACTAGACCTCCAGTGACATGGAAAAAGGCCTAAACACTTTTTCACATGATTTGTGGACCTAGAGTAGTACTCTTGGACTCAAGAAACTGGTATTAGTGTATTAGCTCAAAGTCTTCATCCAAGGTTCCCCGAAAGATTTGAGTGTTTACCTTTTTCAGCACTTGGTTACCCTGGTCAATGACCACAGGTCCTTTGGGAGAAGACGGAAAATGTTCACATTATACCCACATCAGCTCCAGGGCCAGCAGGCTGTATAGCAGTCCTTTCTCAAGGGCAAGTAGCGTATGTTCCATTCAAAGGGCTTTAGATCAATAACCAAACTCAATTCTAGGTATTAGGTGATGCTCTGCACCTTTCATGGTGACTTTTGTTTTGTTTTGGCTTTAGAGAATGTTTTTGGTTTTTGTTTTGCTTCTAATGTTTTGTTGGTTATACAAATCAAGTAAGGCTTCAGCGGTCAACTCTGATTAAACTTTTTAGGATCCTCTAGCCAGAGATCATGCCTCATTCAGAGCCTGCTGAATACTACAATGACCATTCCCACTTAATTTTTGAGGGTTAGATGCCAACACCTGGCCTCCCACACCTCTGCATTCCTCCCCTCTGATATCAGGGAGCCCCTCCACCCAGCACTCTTGACCTAGTCTTCCCTCAAAGCAAGGGTCAAGTGTTCAAGGTTCACCGAGGGCCATACTTAGAGGTATTTGTGGGAAGGAGGCACAAATTAACAGATCCAGTCCAGCATCTCCGTCTTCAGAAATATTTGAATCCTTTCCTCTATGATGCCAAGGAATTTGGGGCCTTTAAATTCCATTTCATGTGGGCGAGCGTTTATCCAAGTTTGCACTGGCCAACCCACCACTTGTTAGAACCCAGCCAGCTCCTGGCAGGAGCACGGAAAATGCAGAACCCCTGGTACGTGCCGCATATCAAGAAGATCAGCCTGGTCCAACATTACCTTTCCCCCTTCCTTCTTCAAGCACCACAAAAATCCATTCCCACGAATATTCCCCACATTTCTGATGGTATCAATTAACAAGTTTCTGCATTTCTGTATGGTTCCAAGATTCTTTCCTACTCACTCAGAGTCTATTTTTCACCCTCTAGGCCAAAACTGATCCCCACCTTCCAGCTAGGCAGCCTTGAGGGGTGGGGCAAGCAGGCACTTGGGAGTTTTCTCCAGTAAGGAAGGGTAGGGGCTGCTTCCAGCCAGTGTTTTGGATTGCCTTGGATTTTTCCCATGTCCTCTCACAGCCATTCCACTTGTCACTATCCCACTCTTCCTGTCAATGCCCAGCTTCACTGAAGTGCAGCAGGGTTGTGACCTTGGCAACCTGCACAATCAATTGCCAACTTTGGTTTTGGAGATCTTAGCCCTACTGCCGAGTCATGAGATGGTTTCACCATGGTCATGGACGTGCTCGCCATTTCATTCTGTGCCCAAATTATTCTGGGCTTGCCTTGTTGACTTTCTCTTTACATTATTCTGTGCAGTTAGAAATAAAGCTTTCTATCCCACAGCTCGGATATTCCTCACCTCCTTAAAATTAGACTGTGACAAAAGCTCCCCCTTCTCGGAGAGCCACCTCCTCGGTGGTCAGACGATACCGAGCAACACAGGAAGTAGCCCTTGACCACTGCGCGCCATGGTCTGCTGGTGCCCAGGCCAGAGCAGAGAAGCAATCTCATTGTGTCTTGCCTCATGACAGCTCATTCGTTTTTAAGACCCACATTTCTTGGAGGACATGTTACCTGTTCTGATTGCTGTATCAGTCAGGAGTCTTTAGTTGCAAACAACAGAATCCAGCTCTGGAAAACTTAAGCAAAAAATGACTGCCTGGGATAGCTACTGGCTAGGATCAAAGTAAAATTAAACAACTGGGCTCTGAGAAAGGTAGGAACCAGGGCAACACAGGGACCAAGGGAGTTAGGACCCATGAATCACCACTTTAGGGCACTGTAATTAAAACACCTTAGTGACAACTGCCTCCATTTTATGTATCACTCTGCTCAAACTAGCAATTCCCTGAAGACGGAGTCTAACCGGACTGGTGTGGGTCACACGCCCATCACATGGCTGGGGAAGGATGGAGGAACTGTCACAGACAGCCTCACCAGGACAGACAGCAGCGGGTAGTTCCCTGAAGAAAAAGAATGTTTCATTCAGCATGGCTTTGCTGTAATGTTGGTGAGATGCCCTAGGAACCTAACTCTACATCAGTTAGCCTACGGTAAAATTGGTTCAGTTATGCATCACTTCGCTTGAAGTCATAGAACCTACTGACAATGTTAAATGAGGACTTTGTGTTTAACAGGTGTTTATAAACGATTTCTCACGCCACACTACTTGTGTCGGCCGGTCACTCCCACCCTCTCTCCGCCGGCCATCTCGCCCTCATTTTGTAGGTTCAGGATGCGCTGCCGCCTCCAAGGCTTCCTCGGACACTCGGGCAGAACTGACCGTCCCTCCTTGTGTGTCCACAGGCTGTGCGCTGCCTTCCGCCACGGTATTCCCAGTGTTCTCGTGTGTCTGACCGACTCTCCAGCTGGTCTGCAAGGACTGTGTCTGGTTCATCTTTATATCCGACAACTAGCTCAGGACCTGGCACACAGTAGGTGTCCAACAAGAGTTTACTCCCTACTCACTACCTCTCCCCTGGCTTTGGATTCTAGACAAACACAACACAAAGTCAGTGTCATGAATGTTCACAACACCATTATCCAGGCTGTAGACGGAGGATCTCATTTTGAAAAAGACGATGGTCTGTGGTCTGAAGGACAGTTTATTTAAAACAAAAGTGTAGGAAGAAGGAAGGAGGGAAGACAATTCCAACATAAAAGCACACAGGAAGCATCTCAAATTACAAAACAAGAGGCAATGAAGGAAGCTGTCTCATACATATACAAACTGCTGACTTTGACGGATTATTTACATCCAAACCTTATAAAACAGCATTTCAAGTCAGCACTTAAGCCAGTGTTATTAGTTTTTGTTACAAAAGTTAAAGCTACAAACTTCACATTTTTAAAGTTGTACATCTGCAACATCATTTATGCTTTTTTTTTCCAAGTTGGTCTGAGTGCAGGCTGGTGGAAGAAATTCTTTTTTTCCAAACACAAATAAGAACATGAATTCCAAAGACAATGAATACAATCCTGATAAAAACACAAACATGGTGCTTAAGAAAGGATGGGGTGGGAGGGTGTGGACTGGGCAGGAACAATTTTCCAGTAAATAAGGAGCTGCAATCTTTAGAGGCAACATGGTATGCTAGAAAGGGCACTGGAGTAAGAATCAGAGAACTGAATTTGAATCCTGGTTCCGCCACATTCTAACTACATGACCTTGAGCAACAGACTTTCTCTCTCTGAGCCTCAGTTTCCTTATCTGTAAAAGAGAACAATAATACCTGATCTCCTAGAGCTATTATGTTTTAATAGAGATAGGGCTATTCAGATGATCTATTTCTTCTTGAGTGAGTTTAGTGCTTTGTATCTTTCAATTAATTTGACCATTTCATTAAAATTACTGAATTTATTAGCATAAAGTTGTTCATAATATTAGCCTTTTAATATCTTAGGGCCTTTAAGGACAACTCTCATTCCTGATACTGGTACAAGCTATTGAGTTTTAAACAGTAAAATTAATTTCTGGCATCTGCTAGATGCTAAGTAAATGTTACCTGGATCAGAATCTATAGTCTCAAGGAGTTAAGGCTATGGTTCTTAAGTTGCTTCAGAGTATTGGGTGAGTTGGTCTGTCTATCAATCAATCAATTAATCAATCAATCATTCATCCATCCAAACATTTATCCATCAATCCAATGGTTGGGAGAAGGGATAATGGAAAAAGAAAAATAGAAGTTTGCTTCAAAATTACTGATGAGGAAGCAATTAAGATATTCTTAGAGAATTGGAGATTTTTAAAAAGAAACAATTAGGTGTGGGTCATCGTTTCTTAGAAGGAGAAAACAAGTGAGGGGCTAAGAGTTCCCTGGAAGCTTGAGTCACAAATGCTCAAGAAATGGCTGCCACTCAGGGCCCAATGAAAGCAGACTGATCTATCCTGAATTTAGTTTTCAAGGGAAAACATGGCTAAGATTTGCTTCTCTGCCTTCCTGTCACTAGAAAACATATACACCTGGTCAGGAAGTAATGTGATCCAAAAGAAATTGATTTCTGGCAAAGGACTCTGTCCAGCTAGACTGAAGAGCAATGTACTTTGTTGGACCAGCATGTTGGGTGTACACATGTTTGAAACAAAATAAACTCTAGATCAAGATTCAAGAATATTTATGGGGAAAAACTGAACCTTCTTTAAGTTTACCTAGGTCTAGCTTAGGAAGGCAGAAAATGGGCATAGCCCTCCTGTCTGGCCAAGTGCGAAGTCCTTTTTTAAAAAGAGACTGAGGCAGGACTGTTAATCAGCACAGCAGATGGTGCAGGTAGTGCCTGCTCCATGCTTTGATTTTTACAACTCAGTTGGCTGTCAGACTTGACTACTAATTCAGCTGTTTCCCAACTTAAAAATGCCCATTAAGAGCATTTTAGTCTGTGAGAAAAGGTGGTCACTTCATTTAAAAAAGACTTGCCCCTATAAAATGCTGGTCCCATATGGTGATGCTATGAATCCTGGTTCTACCACTTACTAGCTGTACTGCCTTCTCTGAACCTGTTTCTTCATCCATGAAATGGAGATAAAGTACTTAGCCCACAGTTACTGTGAAGTTTAGAGCTGAGAGAAAGAGCCTACTGAGCTCTGTGCCTGGCACATCATAAGTGGTCAATGAATGCTCACTGCCATTGATTATTCCAGTAGGACCCTCAAACTGTCCTCTATTCTCTGTATTTGCCATATAGCTGCTTAACTGACTAAGCCCTATAGACCTACAACTGCCTCTTGTATTTGTTAAAACTTGCTTTAATTACAAAGAATAGAATCTGGCCCCAGAAGAGAAACATTCCCTGCCTTTCCACTGATTCCCTGGTTTGGGAAGCAAAAACAATTATGGGGTCAAATTGCAATGTCCTTAGGTGCAACCTAGTCACAGCTCCCTGTCTGAGAGGAAGAGATATTTGAAAATAAAAACACATTTGCCTTTTCCAACTCTCTCCTCTTTGCTGTGTGACTAAATGACAGGTGGCCTTGAGCCAATGCTGCAGAAGGGCTCAGGGCTGTCTTCTGCGAGCCCTCTGCTCTGCTTTTGGCCCTAAATCTGCCTGCACGAGTCTTGTCTGCTATCTGGCAGATGGTGCAGAGGCCATGGACTGGCTGACACAGGGTGACCTGGCTCCCCTGGAATCTCTTCACAGCCTCACCCACTGAAGGGACAAGGCAAGAGCAAGTTCCCATTAGCAGGCTTCCCTGGAACAACTTAACCAAAACTGACACAGGTCTCCTCCCTTGGAGAAGGGCTGCTTGTTCCAATGAACCGGGAGTGAGGAGCCTGAGGTCTAGTCCCAGCTCCCACTTTCACCTGCTTTGTGATTTTGACCATGTCACTTGCCCTCTCCAAGCCTCAGCCAGACCAGGTGATGGCCAGGGTCCCTTCCAGCTCTGGCATTCCACATGTCTGAGTTGAGCCTCCTGGGGAAGAAATCTTAGTCTGATATTCACTATCCATTCCAGACCCCTTAGTGGTAAAATAAAAGTCACATATTTGAATATGTATCACAAAATCAATGCCCTCTACCCGTCTGTAAAGAATGCAGAGCAAAATGCCACATGTGTGATCTTCACATGAAAGAGAACCTCAAAAACCCTTCCCCTTTTGTGGACTGAACACAGCCCCACATTTGCTGGGAGTTCCTGGTAGGCCTGCCCCTCACCGGGTCACATCTCCTCTTAAGGCACTGGGCAGTATCTGTGCTGCGACTTCAGGCAGTTGGGAGAGCAGAGGTGGACAAAAGGCGCTGAGACCACAAAGGCCAATTTGCAAAGAAGGCGTTAGGCTCCTCCTGGGACTCAAAAAGTAAACATGACTCTCAAGGCTTTCCCTTGGACGTCACCAATAGCTCCAGGAGCCAGGGATGACCCACATAAGGCCGAAAGTGTGTTGAAAACTGGCCCGAACCTAATTTTTAAATGCAGCCCTGCAAAAGGGTGAGGTTGGCTCCTGGGAGTGCAGTGACCCCAACAGCACCCGGGGTGCCCTGCCCTCGTGTTCCACAGTACCATAATCTTACAGAAAAGAGGCAAACTGCTTAGAATTGTACCTGTACAGAGATGCCACCACACTGAGTGGGGAATCTAGTTATAATTTACATATATATGCATATTTATACTTTTTAAAAAAGTCTTCCAGAAAGAACAATTGAAAGCTATTGGGAGAAGAAAAACAAAAGACAATGTAAAACTTTCCCAGCTATCACTTGACTAGGAGTCTCTGTTCCTGGGGTTTAAAACTCTGAGTTTAAAAGCGCCCATATAAACCCTTTGAAATAATAAACCTGCCCAATTGAGACACACACACACCAAGACGGCTCGCTCGCTGACCGGCGAGGCGGCCCTTCCCACTGGCACACGTTCCTGAGTTCAGAGGTGCTGTGGAGGGAGAGGCGGCACAGTGACCGCACAGTGGTGGCGAACAAGCTGGAGCAGCAGGCGGGCCCGGCTCCCGAAGGCCGAGTGGGAGCGGGGCCCCCGGGCTGGCCTTGCTCAGAAGTTCTGCTGCCGCCGCTTCTTAGCCTCAATGGCATCCAGGATGGGCTGCCGCTTTGACTGGTACTTCTGCCGGATCTCTTCAATCTCCTGCTCCATCATGGGGTCGAGGGCCGAGAGCCTCTTCCGAAGGTCCTCCACTGTCCAACTCTTAAGCTAGAAGAGAAATGGAAAGTGCAGTCATGACAGAGCCCAGATCAGGGGCCGAACAGCAGAGAAGCAGCCTTTATAGGCTCCCAGAGGGAAGGGAGAGAGAACACGTGCCCACACCCAGCCGGGGTGGTAGTGGTTGGAAAGTGACAGTTCACTCAAATGACGGCACGCCACCACACTTCTACAAGACAATTTATCCCTGTAAGAGTTCCAAGTGCTAATCTCTTTGATTAAGCTCCTGCCTTGACCAGGAATTTAATGAATCATACTTTCATCTCCCCTACCTTTTTAAAAAAAATCTTTATTATTGAAAATATTACAGATATCCCCTTTTTCCCCCATTAATCCCTTCCACCCCCACCCACTCCCTGCCCCAGGCCTTCACTACACTATTGTCTGTGTCCATAGGTTATGTATATATGCATATAAGTTCTTTGGTTAATCTCTCCTCCCCACCCCCTTCCTTCCCTCTGAGATTCATCAGTCTGATTCATGCTTCCATGTCACAGAATCTATTCTGTTCATCAGTTTATTAAGTTCTTTAGATTCCACATATGAGTGAGATCATGTGATGTTTGTTTTCTCTGCCTGGCTTATTTCACTTAGCATAATATTCTCCAGGTCCATCTATACTGTCCCAAAGGGTTCGAGATTCTTCTTCTTTACAGCTGCATAGTATTCCATGGTGTAAATGTCCCA